TGGCTGCAGCTTGTTTGTCACGAACCTGGCCACAAACATCTCGGCCAGGCCTTCCCAAGTCTTCACGCTTCCCTTCGGTAATTTGTGGAACCAATCTAATGCAATCTTCCCGAAAGATGAGGGGAACACTTTGCAGAGCAACGGCTCGTTCCCACTATATAATGCCATTGAGTTCAAATATAGTCCAACATGGAAGTTAAGGTCTGACTTACCATCGTATATTTGAAACCTCGGCATACTGAATCTCTTTGGTGCCTCAAACCTGTCCAATTCCATCGAGAATGGTGTCCTCGGCTTTTCTGGGGAGGTTACCTCGGCCTCGGCATTCCGTTGCTTCCTCTTGAGGTAATCTCTTAAGTCTTCCTTTGCCGCCCAGGAGCTCGGCTATCTCCAGCTTTCAGTCTTTTTGGTGCGCTGCTTTTAGCTTCGTGGTGAGTTCTTTTCGACCCTTCTCCATGAGTTGTGTCGAAACACAATGCCTGCCCCTAAACATGCCGATGTCCTTTGAGGTCTGCCTCCTTTGTGTGATGCGTCCTCCGTGATTCTTCTCTTCTCGACTCTCTCCGTCCGACTTCCCTCGAAGGTCGGTAAGAATATCTTTGCTCCCGTTGTGCTGCGGAGCTACGGGGATTGTTTTTTGCCCTTCCTTCTGGGCATTGGCCGCTGGAATCGGTGTGTCCTGTAGCGGGAACGATGGCTGCATGACGTTATTTTGCATCATGAAATTGGCGCCCGACTGCAGGTCTGCCAATTTGTTTGCCATCTCTTTTACCTCTTCGTCCCTCCGTAGGCACCTATCTTTCCAAACCTGGAGGTCGTCCTCGTTGTAATATCCACTTCGATCTGGTTTCTTTGGTGCGTCGCCAGTCTGACCGACGTCTTTCACTCCGTGATTCTGGTCACGAGTTTCTACGTTGCATTCGTCTCCTGTAATATCAAGGTCAATAGGTCTCCCACTCCTAGCAGGAGTGTCGTCCCCAATCTTGTCCTTCTGTCCGTTACTGGCCATTTATTCTACTTTCTTTCCCACAGATGATGTCAAATTGTGTGAGTAATTTTCTGATCACACTGCCCAACTCAGTATTCAGCTGGAGAACACTAACAGAATAGATGACACCTGGCTAACCTGTAACAGAAATAGAAGATTCCAGCGGTGGTTCGTCCACCTGGTGGCACTCCGACGATCAAGTCAGTATATCTCTCAAAGATAATCAATAGTGCTTAACTCAGTAGACAGAATATAAATTGCGCACCTTAGACCCACGGGGGTGCCTCTCTTTTATAGCAAACTCAATCCTAGTCCCAATAGAAGCCTAGCTCTAATGGACTTAGGATTACTGTTAATCTTGGACTCCCAGCAGGATTAGGATAAACTCCCTAAGAGGCTTAATCTTTTTCTAACTGAAGTACTTCTTCTATGCTAGGACTCTTGTCCTTTATCCCTTATTCCGGACTCCGATATCTTCGGAGATAACTCGGCCTAGCCAAGATCATCTCGCTTTTCGTCAAGACACGTGGCACGTCGCTAAACGTCGGCGTGTACCTTCCACTGTTTGTACTCAAAAAATATTCCCTACAAGTATGTATAATATATACTTTGTTCATTAATAAAGTATTTTTCCTTTTAAAAAAAAAAAAAAAAAAAAAAAAAAAAAAAAAAAACTCATAATTTCTTTAAATCTCTAACTAAAATAAAATGCAACCAACACAAAAGGTGTAAGTGGAAGGTGTAAACATAAAATAGGACAGCAAACAGAAAGGCGTAAGTGTAAGGTGTAAATTGCACACTTAAAAAAAGTCCCTAAAAATAAAGGGCTCACAAATGATATGTAACCTCACAAAATTATAAAGACAAATCAAATGATTTACTCAACCTAAATATTGTAAATTTGTTTTTATATATATAATCTTAATAAGATAGTGTTTGGAAAATATAATCAATATATGTTAATGTTTTTTGAATTATTTAATTTAGAAACAAATATAATTTGTAAATTGATTTTTAAGATTTTATTGATTCAAGCCATGGAGTAAGGTTAACTTCATATTCTTAGTCAAACTCAATAATTTTCTTAATGAATTTTCTTCACGTTTTCTCATACAATTAAAAATTCATTCTCAAACACATTAACTTTTCCTATCTCTTAAAATAGTCAAAAAAATCATTTAAAATATTAATTTAAAACAACCACTTAGTTAAAAATAGTTAATTTACTTATCTATTTTTTTAAAATTATTTTCAAATTAAAAAAATAAATTTATCCATCATTATTTAATCCCGTGCATAGCACGGCTTATATACGCTAGTTGGTGTTTATGTAAAAATTATATTAGGAGGCGAATGTGACTCAAAATTAAAAATTAAAAAATAAAAATAAAAATAAAATAAATCAGACTCTTGCTACTTGAACAACACATACTAGTGTATTCCTCTTTGTCATTATTATTATGTTATTATTTTGTTTTGAGTTGCACACATGTCGCGTGTGCATACTACTAATTTGATTAATTGGATTCACCATAAAAAATGGGAAAAAAGAAAAATTTTACATTTTACTATTTATTATAAAATTTATGGTAAACTGACCAAATCTATGGTAAACTAATCATTATTTGAAACTGAATTGGGCCGTTAAAATATATAAATAACATGAGGTAAGTCAATGTGCACATTTCACCTAAAAGCAAAACACTTATAAAGATAAATTTATTTTCAAAAAAGTAATATCATGTGTGAGCAGATAAAATAAAAAGCAATTGGCAAACAAGGCAAATGGGCCCATCCATCATCTTAAGCCCAGACCCTATCGGGTCCGTTGATTTGCCGAGAACTGAACGCCGAACAATATGTTTGCCGGCCAAACAACATGTCGAACAAGAGATACCGGTAGAATCCTTTGGCACCTTTGCCGAGAACTAAAGTGGGCCCAAGTTGTCCATTTTAAAGGTGCAGTAAGAAATTAGACCCTAACATTTAAAATAATGATGACAAACAGGTATAGTAGGAAATTAGGCCCTAACATTTAAAGTAATTATGACAAACAGATCAAGTTACGTAAGAAATATCTACCCGAATGGTTATATAAAGTAATTATGACAAACAGATCAAGTTACGTAAGAAATATCTACCCGAATGGTTATATAAAGAAGAGAGTTGAAGAAGAAAGGTATGCACTATCAACCCAAAAAACTATCTCTGAAAAATATCATACTCAATCCTTCCCATACTCAATCTGATTTAAGTGTCGAAGTGCTAATTCTGACACCCCTAACCGAAGTGTTTCCTGCTTTTAGGTTTCACAGTGAGAATTAAGCAAAGGTCTCTCTCCCTCAAAAGAATATTGAAGAACCACGCCTCACATATCACATCATTTTTGTGGAATCCTTTCATAAGAACTTTGTTTTACGGACAGAATTTTCTATGTTTAAAAAGTGAAGAGGTAGCAACCTCTGATGCAAACCAATACATTGGAAATCAAGAAGCCATTTTGCATCAGATGAAGCAACTTGTGGGCAATCCTATAAGAAACATAAGCATCAATGCAAGCATGCTCAATCAACTGCTCATCAAGAGTCTTCGATTCCCAATCACACTTGTATAGCTTCTTCATCTCCACACTCCAAGCCCAGACACTTCACATGCAAGAGCTCTCAGACTAGGCTTTCCATGAAAGCTAATTGGGAACCATATCTTTGCCAATGCACGTATATCAACCTTTTTGCTGCAAAGGAGCTCATATTCATTCCACAGCTTCGCTGTTTTGTCACGAAACTCAATGCCGACGAAAGTGATATTGGGGTTTGCAAGGAAAGTCTTGATAGATTGGGGAAGATGGTCCATGTAGAGTCATTGGAGTATGAGACAGTGTGTGCCAAGACTTAGCTGTAAAGCAGCAGTTTTGCTACTCATTGATCTTATGGGGTGAGGCTTAAATTTGCGGTCTAAGCCTATTATAATGTTTTGTCCACTGTGGGTGTACTCGATGTCGACACTGTGCACCCATTTATCTGCCATGGAAGCCTTGTTAGTGACTGTTTTTTCTATGATTTTCCCTGAAAAGGAGACCAAATGTTTGTTCGCTCTGTGCATCTTTCTCTAAGACAGTGTTTGATTCACGGAAATATAGAAATACAAGAAAAACAACTGAAAAAATAATATATGAGGACTGTTGCTGGATGTGTCAAACCGAACCGTCAGTGTTCAATACAATCCATACTCTACCCATATGGTGTATGTTTATGGAAGCTGACGTTGGTGCATTCAGCAGACCTGGAAGACGTCCAGGTCTTCTGGCTCTACGTTTTCCGATAGAATCTTTCGTTCAGGTTTTTATTTAAGAAGCATGTCACCCGCCAGTCCTGCACTTCTCCGATGCATTGAACCGATTTTATCGCTTTCCTTTCCTTCTCTTCTCAAACAAAAAAAATAAAAAATAAAAAAACACGATTTTACTGGATGAGTGAAAGAAAAAAATTGGCAAACTTTACTACGCATGAAAATCTTTTGTGTGCAAATCTAATACATAAAAGACTTGCACTATATACAAGAAAAGATTTGCAGCAAACTTGCAACCCGTGGGGAAAAAACAAAATTTAAATAAATAAATAAATAAATAATTTCATAGTGCCACTCTTCGAAATTTCTCTTATTTATAATTAAGTCAATTAAGTGAAAATATCCTTCAAAAGTGTTTGGTGCAACTTTAATCTGCTTATAGTTTTTTCTTTTTTCTTTTTTGAAAATCTATAACATAGTCTATGAGACAAAAATAAATTAAATAAATCATAAAAAGTTACTCTGACGACTAGGAAGGAATGTTTCAAATTTTATTTTCTTATAATCAACTTTTTGCTTAAAAAAAAACTGTAGTTAACATAGTTCATAATCCAAAATAAACGTACATCCAAGATCAGAGTAACTTATGTCAATCAATAATCCAAGCACAAAATAAACGTACATCCAAAATCAATCAATAATCCAATAGTTAACACATGGCCAGTTATTATGTCACCACATACCATGTTCACTGAAATTTGCAGAAATTCGTTCATAATCCAATACACATCAATACCAACACCATCATTAAAAAATAAAAAGAAAAAACACAAACAAAATTGCACAACATGGCATCTGTATGTTGTGCTGTTACACGGCATTACAAACACCAAAAAATAATTATCAAAAAATGTTTTTTTGATTTTTCAAAATCAATAATAAGATATGGACCTTTCTCAGTGTCCCCCATTATTAATTCAGTTTAGTTGTGCAACCACAATAAGGACATGACAGAAATTGCAGCGCTTTTTATTTCTAACCCAAGTAAGCTTAACCAGAAATTCTAATGCTGGTCCACATCATGTAAGCCCACTTTTTAAGTAACCATTATCAGAACTACTGGCCTTGGCAGATTAAGCCAAAAGAAAAAACACTACACTCTAGAATTTAATTTTTAACAATGTTCCCTTCTCAGGTCCGGAAACATGATTGACATAGTCACCTACTTTTTGAGCTCCCACGTTCATCACTTCTTACCCGAACAACCAGGGATCCTGAAAATTTTTGGAGTGAAATTTTAAGCCAATGCAGTTTAAGCACAAGCAAAGCAAATATACATTTCTAAAAAGACAACTTCAACAAAATTAACACCCAACCAACAAAACCCTATAAAATCCTACATCCTTATGCGCGTTAAAAAATTGTGCATGCCACATTCCAGGATAGTCCAGTGCTATCAAAAATTATATCCCAGCCTTGCCCTATGTCTAATAAAATTCGAACTTTACGCAACAATTGAGGCTTTCAAGCATTAAGTTTAACAAACCAAAAGAACAATGGCAAGATTCAGATTCTTAGCTTGATTGAAGAGTAAGACAACTCACCAAACTTACTGGAATGTACCAATTTAGTATCGAGTATATGCTTTCCCACAATCCTCACGCCTCTGACGCTGGAAGTCTCCGTAAGGGTCGTGAGGCCTTGAAGAAGGATAATTATCCATAGGGTTTGGGTACCTCCCCCTTGATTCCATTGGTACACTAGCTTCAGCATAGTGAGGATTGCCATTAGAGTCATCATACTCAGAATAACTCGGTTGTTTATAACCACCAAACCCTGAAGTAGAGATTTGCTGACGTGCTTCTTGTTGCCTCCTTTGGGCATTGAGTTGAAGAAACTCTTCCCATTGCTTTGCATGTGTTCCACTTATGGTAGCAAGTTTCTTCATGTAATCCTCCCTCATCTCCCTGACAGCCTTAAATTCATAAAATCCCAAAGTCAGCTAGACAGACAGGTAAGAAATTTTCCTAACAAAACAAACCAACAAGTACACAAGGCAAAAGTATTTTTCTTGTAAACAATAAAGAAAATTAAACTAGTGGCATGTGGTGGCAACCCAAATCAAGATTACTATATAACAATTTTGAGGGTAATAGAAAACCAAATTATCTAAAACGACCAAGTTGAGAGAAAGAGACACTAAACCTTGAATTCTTCTAAACATCTAACATGCTTTGTGCTTGTCATAATGTACTCTAGTCTCTGATATCCTCAAATAATAAAACATTAATCATTCAAAACAACTAATAACAAGATTGAAAGATAGATATACACACCTCACGATGCTTGTAATTCTCTTCATCTTCTTCCTTATCACGAATTCTTCCAAGTCCCATTGCCTCCCTCTTATAATCCAATTCTAATTCTTCTAACGTCCATGAGACGGCAGGGTGCTCAAAATTACGGCCAGATTGCATGTCAGATCCTCTCCTTTCAGTATCCCATCGATCAGACCTGTGGGCCCCCATGCTTTGACTATGACCGTCATATGAATTATATGAGTTGGCTGCATAAGGGTGGCGTGGCGGAGATTTTGAACGGCTTGAACGACCTCTAGCTCCGTTATTACCATAAGCTTCACCAAAGGAAGAGTGTGTTAAGCACTTTGATTCGAGATGTGTAATATAGATGGCAGCTTTAACTACACAATCTATCTTAAATTCTCATAATGAAACCCATCTGAAGCAAACAAGTCTGGAATCTGGATATGCTTTTAGTAAATAATTTCTTTTTGAAGGAAATCCGATCAATTCAGACCCACCCATGAAAGTAACTTCAGAATCGAACACATAATGCTTGAACATAAGAACTTACCTCTCGCTGCAAACAAAATCACAAGCAAGAAACAACATCATTAAAAAATTCACAAAGAAATAAAATCAATAAAATTGAAACACGGGTCGAATGTTTTATGGCCTAACAAGCCACGATCATGGGATTACCAGATTCCTATTGACGCCGTAAATGTATCCTATCCTGTCCCTACCTTGTGGGGAACCCCTTGCCACTTTTTGCAGATCCTCACGAACACGGTCTTCCACAACCTTATCTTGTCTGCTAAACCTCGGTTGGAACTGGGATGGATTGCGTAGGCTGGGAAGAGACCTCTGGGAATCAGAGCGTCCAAACCGTGAGCTAACAGGGCTTCTCCGCTCAGGTGATCTAGATCTGCTCATGTGAGAACTAGAGGAACCCTTTTTTTCACCCTCTTCTTTAACTTTGTGCACAGCATCCACACCTTTTGCCAAAATCAACCTATCCTTGCCACTGACAATGATAAATTTCTCATCTACTTTTATTTTGCAGCCAACATCCTTCTCAATCTTTTGAATCACTTTCTCTGTGAAAAGTGCTTTAACATGTTTCTCTCTCGCAGGAATTCTTTCAAAGAAATCCTGAGACTTGCGATTCGCTCCAAGAGTTGACGGACATCCCTGCACATATACTAAACAGCATATCATAATCTTAATATCTACAAATATCGTATGGAAACTTTGGATAAAAATAAAAGATAAGAAGAGACAAGCTACAGAAAAGCAGCAAACATTTTAGAAGGGTATATCTACCCAAGTTGTGAAAGATGGCATGACTGATAAAAGTGAGATGATTGAGACATGTTCAAAAAGTGACAAAAAATCTAATGAGGAAGCATAAAGATGCTGTTTGGCATCCCTACATCAGATTCCAGAATAACTCAACTGCTATGTTGTGCAAGAAATTGGATATAATCTGAGAAGAATACAAAACCCCACCAAATGGGGATAACCCAATTGGCAAGATGAAAATGTCAATTGACTTCTGTGATTCAGATCCCTATGCTATGGCCAGACCAGTAACCACCTCCAAAAGAAAGAAAGAAAGAAAGAAAGAAAGAAAGAAAAAAATATTTAATAAATAAATAAAAAGGAGAGGAAGAAGGTAATGTCAGCCAAAAATCACCAGAAAACCACAACCACAATCCCAATTACTAGCACGATTGACAACACAATGTCAACTCGTTAGAAGTTAGAACTACTGGAAACAAACAAATAAAGCTTCCGTGATAGTATAAGTGCATAGACTAGTGTTATGCATCTCATAAAAAGATGCTAATTCAGAGAGCATTACCTGAGTAAAGTGACCTGATTCTCCACATAATTTACAGATCATTTCTTCTTCCTTCCTCTTCTTCCAGTTCCTCTCAGTAGCTTTAGATTTAGCCTCCCAAACCTTAGCTTCTCTGCTAGTAAAATCAGTTGGGACAGCATTGGGGTCACGAGGTTCCTCTTCCTCATCAGAACTTGCATGGGACCTTTTGTTGGTTTTTGCTTTGTCTTGTATATTTGTAGCATTAGAACCCAGAGGGCCAGTATATTCCTTATAAAGTTCACTAAAATCATCATCGATGTCGGGGTCTGGTCTGTGTGCCATTTATAAGCTATCAGGCAAGAAATAAACTCCTGCATCAGTAAACAAATTCCACACCTCACCGCCATCAGCAAAAAACTGTGGAATGGAGATATAAAGCAAAATAACTAAAAACCCAGAAAAAATAAAAATAAAAAAAATGGTTGTCATCACAGTAAAAACATATCCTGAGGGGAGATGAGAGGTACATTTTCCTTTTGATGATGTACAATTAAGTATTTCTCTGTCATCAAACTATTAGATAGAATTATCAATTAGTTAAAAAAACAATAACAAAATGAACAAACAATAAGAACAATGATAAATAATCTGCCAATTACACAGTGAATATCCCTCGCACCATTTTTTCCAGAACAAGTGTAGGTGTTGGTGCAGTGCCTGTGTAAATGCATATCTATATATATACATATATACAGCCTAATATAATCTAGGGTTTTAATGAATTGTGTCTCTGTGACGATATTTGTCGTATATTTGCAAATACCTGGTTTCGACATATTAGAGGAAGAACAACAACAAAATTATTTTCATGGCAGAGACATGTATTCGGATTCAATACAAAGAGTGAACATTTTTCAGCAATAAAAGTCAATGGCAAGAGGAATTAGTGGAATGACGGAAGAGAATGTTACCTGGATTGGATAGAACAGAGAGAGAGACTGCGAGCTGCGCAATGGCGAACGGCTAGGGCTCGTTTGCCCTTTCGGTTTTTCTCTCTTCTTCTTTTCTTTTCCTTTCTTTTCTTTTAATATATAAAAATATTAAAAAAGATTCTACTATACACGCTTGACGCTTCTATCGTATGTTTCTAAATTATGTTTTTTTAATTATAATTAATTTTTTTTAAATATAAGTTATAACTCATGAAATTTTTTTTATTATAACTCCGTTGTTTGGTTATAATTTTTTATTTTAATTATTTAATTATAATCAACATGTAATAGATCTTATTTGACAAAATTTAAAATTTGATTCCTCTAATTTGGTTAAAGTATGGAAATTTGGTTAAAGTATGGAAATTATTAAAGTGCATGCAATGCCATAGTAAATAATCTTTTCCTAATATTTATTGATACTGCCTCAACCACTTCTTCATATTAGTAAATAAGTCCCCTAGTCTTTGTGAATTCTCACTTTTGCCTCCATGTCAAACTATTACACATCTTATGAAGTTCTTTTTTATTTGGGTAAATTGTATTGAAGTTTGAATTACATTTTCTCTTATAATTTAACTAGTATATGTCCGTGCCTGAAGGCACGATATAAATAATGTTAGGATTAGAATATAATTGTAATCCCAACACTATTTAAATTTATATTTTAATTTGATAAATTCACAAATTTATTATAAAATTTTGGAGTTCTCATAAAACTCCTCACGAAAACTCATTTTTGCTTATACAATATATAGCTAGATAGATAGATGTGTCTGACATACATACAATAATGCGTTTGCTTATATAGTTATATGAAAATTGTATGTATGCCCGTAATGTCCTAGTGTATTACGAGCATACATACATTGTATGAAAACATGTGTAAAATATATTGAACAAAAAGGAGAAAATAAAAAAATAAACAAATAGAGAGAAAAATATAAATAAGAGAAAATAAAAAATAAAAAGAAAATAAGGAGGAATGTGAGATCATGGGATCATGGAAATATGGGTGAGAAAAAGAAAAAGTAAAAGAAAGAAGCGGGAAAGTAGAAAATGTACATGTAGGACATTTTTTTGAAAATATATCTCAGTCATTCTTTTATAATTTAAACAGATATGAGCTATCTAAATGCCCTAGTAGGACAAAAATATGTTGAAAATTAAAAAACCGTCCTGTTTTATTAAAATACTAGTGTATGCCTGTGCCTGAAGGCACGATGTCAATAATGTTAGGATTAAAATATAATTATAATCCCAACACTATTTAAATTTATTTTTTAATTTGATAAATTCACAAATTTATTATAAAATTTTGCAGTTCTCACAAAACTCCTCACGAAAACTCGCTTTTACTTCAATATATAGCTAGATAGATAGATGTGTCTGGCATACATACAATTTTCACGAGCATACATACAATAATATTTTTGCTTATATAATTATATGAAAATTGTATGTATGCCCGTAATGTCCTAGTGTATTACGAGCATACATACATTATATGGAAATATGTGTAAAATATATTGAACAAAAATGAGAAAATAAAAAAATAAACAAATAGAGAGAAAAATAAAAATGAAAGAAAATAAAAAAAATAAAAAGAAAAGAGGGAGGAATGTAGGATCATAGGATCATAGAAGGACGGGTGAGGAAAAAAAAAAGTAAGAGAGAGAAGCGGGAAAGTAGAAAATGTACATTTAGGACATTTTTTGGAAAATATATCTCAACCATTCTTTTATAATTTAAACAGATCTAAGCTATCCAAATGTCTTAGCATGACAAAAATATGTTAAAGATTCAAAAACCATCGTGCTTTATTAAAATACTAGTGTATGCTTGTGCCTAAAGGCACGGTGTAAATAATGTTAGGATCAGAATATAATTGTAATCCCAACACTATTTAAATTTTATTTTTAATTTGATAAAATCACAAATTTATTATAAAATTTTGGAGTTCTCACAAAACTCCTCACGAAAACTCGCTTTTGCTTATACAATATATAGCTAGATAGATAAATGTGTCTAGTATACATACAATTTCTACGGGTATACATACAATAATGCTTTTGCTTATATAATTATATGGAAATTGTATGTATGCATGTAATGTCCTAGTGTATTACGGGCATACATACATTGTATAGAAATATGTGTAAAATATATTGAACAAAAAGGAAAAAATAAAAAAAAATAAACAAATAGAGAGAAAAATAAAAATATAAAAAGAAAAGAGAGAGAAATGTGGGATCATGGAAAGATGGGTGAGAAAAAGAAAAAATAAGAGAGAGAGAAAGAAACGGGAAAGTAGAAAATGTATTTGTTGGATATTTTTTGAGGAAATATATCTCAGCCATTATTTTATAATTTGAACAGATCTGAGTGTAGCTCGCCTTTTTCATGCCCTCTTTCAGAAACTCGAAAGAAGCCTTACAGTTTGGACTCTCGTAGTTCTGAATCTAATCTCACAAGTGCAATGTGAAATTGATAAACACCAAAGAGTCTAAATCCAGCAAATCTTTTGAAAAATCGATTTTGAATCAAAAATGTCAAAATTAGACTACTTTGCCAGATACAGAATCACCACTTAAATATTTTATTTTGGGATAATTTAGGTAACCCATGACTCATGCCAAAGGCCACATATCCGTCATCACCAAAGTTGTCTCGACTCGGGAACTTAGGTACGAGAGGGGAAGGTCATGAATTGAGCACCCCCGCTCGCCCGATCAAAGATCGGCCTCTACTAATCATGATATGATTTTTTATTTACATTATATGCTCTTGTTCCAGTTTATTAGGCTAGCATTACTATGTAATGCGCGCATACAAAGTATAGACTAGTTTGCCCGAATTGGAACAATTCAATTTCATGTTTGTTTTCTTTGAAACGAATTGGATTTTGCCACTTAACAAAGTGGGCTTAAAGTTTGCGAACTTGACACTCAACAAAGTGGGCTTAAACGTACATTCATTGAATTATTCCAATTCAACCAACAAGCCTTCATCCACAGGCACTCAAGCAGTTTAGCAAGTAATCACTTAGCCTCATGACAAGCGTGCTAGTCATGGCAATCACTCAAACTCATGCAAGTATGCTAAAGCACTAAAAACTCACTTAGTACTCCAAGCCAAGGAAAGAAACCAATTAGAAAAATGCATGTTCCTAACTATGCCAAAAGACTAATGCAACACATGTGATATGCAATTTAATAGGCTCGGCTACTAATATGGCATATGAGGCAATTAAATTAAATAACATACGGTCTAAGCACGTATTCAAAGTAGTATTGAAATAATGATGCAGTTTGAGTGATGAACCGAGCTTCGGAACATGCAATACAAGATGAATGGATGCAAGCATAAGGCATGCTAATTTAAACGTGATGTCCCTAAACTAACCATCATAAGCAATTAAATAAAAGGGAGAAAGACATGGGGTTGGAAGACATACACATAATTACAACATTGCGCTCTCACGGAGGAGAGTCCGAATGAATAACTAAGCTAAGCTGATTAAGCTAATTAAGCTAATTATTACAAACCAAAATGAATAACTAGTTAAACTACTTAACTAATTATTACAACACTTGAATTAACTAGCTAATAAACTAATTAATTAAATAATTACAACACAATTAAAAGTAAACTAAGTAATTAAACTAAGCAATTAACTACTCTTCCTCCGGAAATAAGAGATGTGCATGCACATGCTCGATTTCCTCCTGAAAGGACCACCGTTTGGCTCTCGAAAGTCTCTATTTGCACGGTTGAACACTTCCAGAACAATTTTGCTCCATCTTACGAACACTCTGCTGAGATTTGCATCAGTGGCCAACCGACCACTGGTAAAGCTTACCGGCCACCAGCTGGCCATGGATGATGGTCTGCCGGCCATGGAAAGTGGCATACCGGCCACTGATGCACATGTTCATCTTGCTGCAACAGAGGACAAACAAAGCATATACAGGGTATTTTCAAAGGTTGTCTGCACAACTTACCCCTCTTTTTCATGAGCAAATCCAAGGAATGGTGAATCTTAAGTTACAAACCACCAATTCAAGCAATTTCATTGCATGATAGCTTGTGACTTTAAGATGTGCAAGCTCAATAAATGCAAAACAAGACACAAGCCTCCTCTCTTTCATGAATGATCAAGGGAAGGAGTAGACCTTGGAGACTTGGATCATTTCATCACTAGCAAGTATGAAATGGTCCAAGTTTCATGTGTTCAATTAACGTCCGATTGAACACACCAAATTATTATCTTGTTCATTTTTAATCCCAAGTTTTAGTTACTCAGTTTAACTTACCAACCATTCTTTAATTCAATTAAGTCTTTTGGGTGAATTAAAGTCCTCTAATGGAAAGATGGCTCAAAACACAAGTTGCTTTAGGTATGAAAGAAGCATCATACCGTTGGTAATGAACCCCCTAAGAGATTAAACCATTAAGTATGAAACCTCAATTTCACACTTAGGCAAGCAAGTAACTTGAAACCACTTTCAAAGCAAAATTAAAAGCCAAGAAAGGAGGGAGGTTACAGAGATTAATAATGTTGAAATGAAGTATGAAAAGCCCAAAATAAATGCTATCAACTCAAACAAGTGGTGTCCAAAGGCCTAAAACACCAAGCTTGTGAGGATTATTACACTACAACTATACAAAACAAAGCTCACATGAAACAAAAAGCAAAAAACATAGGCAAAACAGTCTAATTCAGAGCCTAAAACATGCTGGAATTAAGCTATAAATGGCTAGAAAAATAAGCTAACACATAGAGCTAACTAGGCTATCAAACAAGGCACAAGGAGGAGAGGCTAACCCCTTCAAATTTGGACTTCAAAACATGATTTTCACTACTGAAAATACTCTAAAATTTAGTGTTTAAAGACCCAAAAAAAGATGGTTTGAAAGTGGGAAACAAAGGTGAAAAGGCCCCACTAACAAGGAATAAAGAAGGGTGATCCACCCCCTAACCTTAAATGGCCTAAAACATCAATTTCAGCCCACAAAAATAGAGTTTTTTGTAGCCCAAAAACAGCCCAAAACAGTGAGAAAAAGATAGAAAAATAACTATACAAAGCAAGCTAATAAAGCAAGT